CCACAATGGGGTACACTACCACGTAACGAGAATATTCGTCAATAAAGGAAACGAAATAACGTTCACCATTCCTACCTGGAATGTTAATAGGTCCCCATACATCAGAGAAAACCCTTTCAAGCGGTCTCTTTACTTGAATACCTTCTAAGGGTCTATAGGAGATTCGTCTTTGCTTATTGATTTAGCAATGTTCACAAAACAAATTAGGTGAGTGCTTTAACACAGGAAGACCTCGAACTGAATGTCTCTTACTAGTCCTGACAATAGTATCATAATTTATATGACCAAACCGACCATGGCATAATTCACTATTATTATGCTGAACTGTGGATGCCTCAAATTTCACAGATTTGCCCCCCTTTTTGATTATTTTTGGGAATACATGATAGTTACTTCCTATCAACTTAGCCTTGTACAAAGTTGAATTCTCATCATCAGTAACTTTAATTTGCCCATTTTTACCATAAAATCTTGCTCCATTGATATCCACCCTAGGTCTAGATATTAAATTTCGTCTCAGTTCAGGTGAATATAACACATCTTTAAGCAAAATAACCGTATCCCCAAATTTCATTTTAACAGTACCCTTCCCATGAATTGGAAAAGTTACCCCATCAATAGCTACTAGCATATTCTCATTTTTCACAGGAGAAAAAGTATCAAACAATTCACGATTTTTACAAAAATGATGAGATGCAGCCGTATCAAAAATCCAACTATCATCATTTTCTCCCAAATTGTTTGAGGCTTGAGATTGAGCTATAAAATTGGCTTGAGCTATAAAATGGGACTGTGCATGGGAATTATTTTTACTTTTACTCAACTTGGGTTTATTCTTACACTTAGAAGATGTTTTATTACTACTAGATACAGCTGAGGAAACAGAAGAAGCAGGCGAGGGTGATCTGGAAAAATTACCTTTCATTCTACAGTATTTTTGAATATGACCTGGACGGCCACATTTATAACACTTGAGCCCTTTAATCTGCTTAAATTTGGGTTCACAATTGAGTACTTTGGAACTTCTATAGTCTTATTGGAGTTTTTCTCTATCTATCTCTCTTAAATTAAGACGCGTTTCCTCTGCTAGAATTTCAAGTTCAACATTTTTAAAAATGAACTTTTCATCTGGCCACCTCAAAATATTCTGAACTACTTGATCAAATTTATCTGGAAGGAACCTAAGAAACTGGAAACATATATATACGTCTCTTACAGCCTGATTAATATCAGCTAACTGTTCAGTTACGCGTTTTAATCTAGAAGAAAAGAAACTAATACTTTCATTTGGCTTAATTTTGCAATTTAAGAACTCTGAAAACAGGGACATATGTCTTGACCGATAATCTGGCTGGAAATATTTGGCAAGCGTATTCCATGCCACTACTGGGTCATCAATTTCACATATCAAATTTCTATATTCAGGGCTTACATTCATATAAATTAACGATAATGCCAATCGACTTCTATTTTGATAGTCGGCAATAATTTCTTTTGCAATACCCTCAAAATCATCCAAATCAGGACATTTTTCAATACCTTTGACCAAAAGCCATGCATTTTTTTCATTCAAGAGAAACTTCATATCTTTGGACCATGTAAAATAATTACATGCATCAAGTTTAGCAGTATTATGCATGACATAACTAACAGTAGCCATATTTGAATTTTAACAAAAAAAACCGCCCCCCAATCTCTTAAGTCCTAAATTAACTTTAAACTTCAAAAGTCTGCACTAAAAATAACTCAGGAGCTGGTGGCCCATAACCAAAATGATGCTAAAGCAAAGTTTAAGGTTTAAAGAAATTAAACATTTAGCAGTAGTAGCAATAAAAGCTCCCTGAGATATGTTGTACAGACATTGAAGACAATAAAAGATTTTGAACTTAACTAATTTATTGACAATATAATAAAGAATAAAAACACAGAAAATAAATGTCAACAATATTAGAGTCTTAGGAAAAATATAATATAACCATCATTCATCAAATATTTTTACCTGGTCTCCAAAACACTGGCATTCTATACAAACAAAAATGTCCTAAACAGTAATTATGCGGCCTAAAAATAAAGCTGGCCACACATTCAATAAGTCCATAATCAATGGTCAAGAAAAACACCTGAAAATTTAAATGAAGTTCTTGAAAGCACTTAAAACAGGCCTAACCCCGTTTGCACAAGGAGTCGCCGCTCACGTATTTTTAATTCCGCCTTCATTGAAGAACATGGATGCCACCCACAGCAGTCACTCATATGGTAGCCTCTGGAACCAAAGAACTTTATTCTGGAACTATCATCTCGCAAACCGGAACCAATGCACTTTAATCACCGGACTGCATGCATCCTTCTGAAGGGACTGGAAACCGCTCACTCAAGTGCCGGGAAAGCAGGAACTAGAAGGGTTGAGCCAGAGCGACGCAAGATACTGATAGCAGAAGTAGGAATGACGTCATCTCACGGCAACCAATCAGCTATCGGCACGAATCGGCTTTTCAGATGCCGTAACATCATATTTCGTTTTTGCATCTCAATTAGGTTGAAACAGTCCGTTCTCAATGCAAACAGTGGCAGCAAGAAAAAGAAGTAGAAGTAACTACTATATTACATTAAAATAAGGACTAAACTAAATAAACATTTCAAGGAGGAGAGATGATGCAGTAAAAGGTTTAAAAAAATAAGCTATATTTTCCAACAAAATTAACTGAAATAGAGAATTTTAGCTTATCCGTCCGTTATACATTAAACGCGCACGCGAAAACGTATTCTGCGTTTGCGCACACGCATATGCGCAGTCGTAAAGGTCTAACGCGCACGCGTAAACGCCTATGCGCATGTGTCAACGCGGTGCATGCACAGAAAGTTTTTAGCTTTGAGGTCCCGGATTATGGGTGTCCGAATTAATGACTTTTGACTGTATATACACACATTTCTGAATCCAGTTCTAATAACAGAAGAGTACTGGTTATGAATTATTCCTTTGTCCTGAAAGAATCTTATGGTAACCTCTTTGTGATTAGGTAATTGCCAAATTGTGTAATCCATCGTACTCAGAAAAATGGTGAAATATTGGAAAAAAAAGTGAGGAGTGACGATATTTCAAACAAAACCTAATTTCAATCCACTATATTTCAAATGTAAATAACAAATACTTGTAATAATAAGTAATGATATTTCAAATGAAAACTGAAATCTTAAGCCACGGTATTTGGCATGTTGTTGCCACATTTTTAACTGACACTCCTCTAACAGAATGATACCCCCCTCCGGTAATGAAGAGCTCTTAAACAACTTCTCCCTTTTGGGAATATGAATTGTTTTATTTAAACGGTTCTGAATTTGGCGATTTAGATCAATTTCTGTACATAATTTTTAATTCAGAGATCTGTGAATTTTTTGACAGTTTTTTAGAACATTATAACATTAGTAAATTTTATTAAAATGAGGGTAATATATTAAAATTATATTTAAGAAATAATATTAAAATGAAGCATTTTTAGTTTTCTCGGTCATATTATAAATTGAGACTACTTCCATTTTGGCAACTTGTTCTTACAATATTTTAAATCTGAAAAATAAGCGAGGTAATAAATGCTAAAAGCACAATTTGCAAACAGTTCTTAGCAAAAGCAAAATAGCTATGTAATTATTAGCCTAATGGATGTTAGCCAGAAGGTTTAATTTTGTTTTGTCATTTTGCATTGAAAACTTTAAATGTCTGTATCACTTTTCAAGTTGTTGCCACCAAATATTATCGCCCTGTGTTATATTTAAAGAATGAAGAATCTGCATAAATGTGTGCATGTTTCTCGCATCGTGACAAAACAACGGTACCTAGAGCCATCAGATTTTGAATAATGTAATTCTCTACCGAATATGGGCATCTGGAAGTCCTAATTTGGAGTTTGTTTCATTATCGATTTCATATTTGGTAACACTTTAATGGATTTTTTATTAAGAAATTCAATGATTTCAAAATAAGCAATGGCAACACTGTGCCTTCCCCCCAAAATTTTATCTACAGCATGCGAGACTGTGTATCGGATATTCTAAAGATATGCTCATTTTAAAATTATTTTGTGATATTGCTATTGAATTGAATTTTATGGTTTAAATGCAAAGAACATGATATTTAAAAAATAAAGGTAATGCACAAAATGCTGCCCCTATGGATGTATTGTAAAATCTGGAAGCTTTAAGATTTTTTTTAAATGTATTTTTTTATTTTTTCACGATAAAAAATTTTCTCCATGTAAATGTCTCAAAAATTTTCAAAATGTGCATGAGTTTCTCTATAACATTCATTTAAAAAATTTTGTGATTCCCCCCCCCAATACTTGTGGCTTTTTGCTGTTACAGAAATGGTAGGGGTAATTTTTCTTTCATATCTTAGACATTGCATGTGTCCATTATTATCTGAGGATATTTAAAGAATTTATGTTTATTATCATGCCAGTTTTTTAGCTTATAATGTGTATTTTTTCAATGTGTCAGTTATGTGTATTGTGCATCATAAGATAAACGTGAACTTAATGTGCATATTGGGTTATGTGTTTTAATGTAGAAATATGTAATAATTAGAAAATTAATTTGTATCTCAGAAAAATTGGAATGATTCCCATGTCATAATATCTGAAAATATAAGTGCCAACAGATGGCATTCGGAGGAAACCAGTATTAGAAGGTGTAAAATTGAAAAGCACGAGACAGAAGACTGGGAACGAATGTAATGGTGAAGTGTTTCCCAGCATACAGCTCAATATATGTATATCCAGCTGTGATTAATTAGTTTGTTAATAAACCTAGTATAATAATAGTGTGTTCTGTTCCGATGAGTCAACTATATCCTGAACTACTACTTACCATGTTGGGAATGCAGTGTATTTCAATAGGGCCGTGTTAATCCCTTCCTGGCTAATTGGGAATTGACTGTATATAAAATGGTAGGACAAAATTATGTATTTATTCAATGTAATAAATGAATGTAACTTTTTTTGTTTTAGTATGGTTTGTTCTATGCTCAAAATCTTCAAACTTTAACTGAAGTAAATGAAGTGTGGAAACCTTTTATTACGAATGTGTGGAAAATATTGTCAGACTTCTATACATCAGAGCTATGTCTTAACTATAAAGCCTGTGATATTGCCATTGTTGCTATTAATGTGGCTCTTTTGCTATGCAAAGTGAAGTCAAGCTTACCACCTAATTGGTATCAGGTAAGAAATTTTTGTGGTGTAATAAAATTTTCAAACATTTATGATGCTATACATATTTAACCGGATTAAGTGTGCAAGGATAATAGATAAAAATGAATTGATAAAACAGATATTTAAAAAATAAATTTATTTAAAAAGTATATTTAAAATAGATCTATGAAACTGAAAATGAAGTCATAACAAAGTATAGTAAAGCAGTATTTATATGTTTTTCAATTACACAGCTTTTGCATTTATGTGTGTTTCATCCCTGTCCCTGTTAATTCATTTTTGTGTTAGCAGTAAAATATTTATTTTTCCAGCGTATTACTGGATACTTATAGCAAAAATTGAAGAGTTCAGGAGATGCTATATATATGAAATTCCAAGTAGTCAAGTGTATAAAAATTGCAGTTCGTGTAAAAAAAGTGAAATGAGTAGAAGAAGAAATTTCCAATCTAAAATTATCTTATTTTTATCAGCTTAAATATCAAATGTCAGTGATAGGCATTTTCAGTGTAAAAAAAGCATTTAAGACTTAAAAGTCAGTATATTATCATAACAATGTGTATATATGAAAGTAAAGGTACTTACCTAATTAAGAAGTACTGTTAACCATGAAAGTTAATGGCTATCTCTAAACTCGTGTTAATCATTCCAGCAGAAATTTGAAAGTAGAAATTGCTTTTTACTTTATTTACATAATCAACAGATGCAAGTTGCATTTATAACATGTAAAACTTTACTTGTCAATAATTTCAGTTGCTTGTCATAATTTTTATGTTATATCACCATTGTTTGTCAGTTCTAAAATAAAAACTTATGTCCATTGACACATACTTGAGTGATGCTTGTAAATTTGAAAATATTCAAGGCAGGTCACAAATTTTAATTGTTTTTACAGTATGTGGTAAAAACAAATAAATAGCAAGTAATTTATATCATTCTTGCGAAACTTGAATTGTTTTATGAAGAAATGATCAGATTTGAATAAACCGAGGCAAAGATTTTATGGACTGTGTTGTGATGTCATGCTTGCTTATTATTGGTGCTAAATCACTCTATTTGGCAACATTTGTTGTTTGCCAAAAGTGGTTGATATTAAATATGCTGGTGAGAGTAGCTGTTGTGATAAACTCTCTCAGTGTCTATCAAAATCTTTGGAATCTCACTTATACTCTCATTTCTATTTCTTTGAGCTCAAAGGATGAATTCTTGAAACAATATTTTGCATACAATGGTAGGGGAAGGGGTAATAAACATCAGCTAGAAAAAAGCTGTGTAATTGTATTCACATTTTAGATATTAGTGGGCTTCGGAGTAACAGTCTCATCTGTGCTGTATGATGGCTTTACAAGTATCTTCATTTTCTTTATCCTATCTATTTGTTGTATACATGGGGTTTTAGAAAGGTGGCTAGAAGTATGTCTAGGATTTCATCCTAGACATGTATTTCCAGGTGCATAATTTCTTAAAAAGGGGTGCATTTTATGAATACTTTGCATGGACAATTTCAATTGTGTTGTGACATTGCAGAGATACAGATTTTGCACAGACTATATTCAGTTGTGTTGAGGTGTGTTGTGATGGAAAGGAATAGTTTTCTAGTATTTGATCCCCTTAAAGTAAAAGGTTCAGTTAGTAAAATATTGGCTATAATTTAATTATACATGTACTGAATTTGAATTCATAGAGATATGCTAAATAAATAACTTCATTCAAAATAAAGAGGTCAAGGGTAAATTTAATAACAGAAGTTTAGCCTATGATGAATATATTAGTTATCAAAATACAATTTCTGTTTTGTAACTGTTTTATAAATTTATAAAATTCTTAAATTTAAGTTAGTAATATGCATGGAAAATTATTTATGTTAGTTAATTTGTTCTTATTGATTGATACATGTAAATTATGTGCATAAATACATACATGTAGTTATGTATGGAGCTTTTTAACTTTTAATGAATATTTTATTTATCGATTTGAAGAATTATTTATATAATTATATTTTATTTATCGATTTGAAGAAGCACACAAAAGATTATGATTTTGTTGTGTAAAATCCCCCATCTACAAATTTGAGATTTATTTTTTTAAATAAAATTGTAAATCATATAAGAAATTTTGTAATTTTAAATGTATATCTGAAGTTGGCAATAGGCCCATTTATAAATACAAAATTTATTATAGTCAAATGCACTGTGCAAAAAAAGGGGGGGACATTTCTATATCTCCCGTTCTACTGGGCTGATTGATGAAATTCAAATTTTGTTTTTCATATCTTGAAAGCATGATTTAGTTATGTATTAGATTTATATATAGCTTTGCTCTAATATACATATTTTGACACAAAATTAGACTTTTTCTGAAATAACATGCCAATTTTTTTCCATATTTCGGTTCTATGACTCAAATTATGCCCCAATATGAAAGTTTGTAAAATTTGGTACAAAATTTACGGAGAAATTCAAAAATTCATCTTGCCGTAATTTTTTCACTTTACACCAATAATAATTCATTTGACGATTTGCAAATAATTTTAACAAAGTGCATAAACCACATTGGATGTTATTATCACTTTCAACAACTCTGCCAAATTTCAAAATGCACCAATATTTAAATTCACATTCCTTTTTATTTTTAGGAATTGGTAGGGATAATTTTACTTTCGGATTTTAGATCGGGAAGTTTAGAAAGATTTAAAGATGTATAATTTCAGAGCACGTAATGAATATGTTTTATAACAAATTTGTGATGAAATTCATATCTTTTAGAGAATTTTTGGAAGGACGTTTGGAAACAAAAAATTATTTGAATTATCTTCTTTTGATTCCAGAAGTCTCACTTAACATGTTTATCTTTCCTTTATTTTCTTATCTTTGCACTAGATGCAAGCATTGAAGCAAGCAAAGAAATTATTGAATATTTGAAAATTAGGTGTTTTAATCTTTTATAACTTTAAACTTAAACTAACTCATGGTGCTGGACAAAAAACTCAAAGTATAGTGGTAGTACAAAAGTTAAATTTTAGGTTCGCGCTGTGAGTAAACCTAAGTAAAAGGAAAAACAATAACCCCAAATTCATTTAAAGCTCCATGTTTCTTAAAAGCCTACCAGCTCAAACAAATGAAGTGACATGACAAACCAAAGTTAGTTAACACACAAAATAAATGGCAATTAAAATTCTAAATCAAACACATTTATTAAATTTTTGAATATAATAATATTATTAGTAAATACTTGAGAGTAACTAACTAATCAGTATCCCCTACCACTTATTTTTACTATGAAAATATCGCATCTGTCACACAAAATTTCAGCTTACAATAATTAAAACATTTAATTAATAAACATTTTTTTTACAAATTAAGAAGGTGTAACATATTTTAATTCTCCAAATAAAATGGTTCTCATTAATTAGAAACTAACATTTTCTGACTCAATAACTCAGTAGGTGAAACAAATTTTCAACATACCAAAACTGGCCATCACTCTAAATAATAAATCACTTCTCAATTTTACTAACTGTAATATTTAATTTATATAATTAATGACAATATATACATGGTAGATAAATCATTATTAACTGTTCCACCACAGCATTGGGAAAACTAAGAAAAAAGTAATCTTAAAATTTTTTCACTCACAAATGGAAGACAGTTTTTCTGGGTAGCAGGATCCTTGGTGTCCAATCCACAGGGAAATGAGCCAAGCCCATTTTTCCTTCTGTCACAACCCTTTCGGAAGCGTCTAAAATTATTAGAAATCACAAGTGGAATCAACAGTCTAATAGTTCTTCAAACAGCCAGGAATCGCTTTATCTGTCCATTAGGTGGGAACCAATAGTCCAATTTAGAAGGATCTTTATTTCAATTCAATAACAGGTAGCTGAATATACACAAGTTTTTAGCACGATCACTTGCATCATCGAAGCTGCGAATCAATATTTTAAGCTGAATATTTCGGAAAAAGGCTCTTGGAGATAAACCTGCGATTCGGGTGTTCCTTCTATACATTTTAAGTATAAGCAGTTGCTTTAGAATAAGAGAAATCTTTAATTTAAAAATTCTAAAATAAAGAGCAACTCATTGAAGAAGAATTCAAAGGTGCATTGTTGAAACATTAACTCTCTCGCTACACATCCCGCGATTTCCACGGGCAACGTAAAATTAGTAAAATTTGTGCAACCCGCGATCTTCGCGGGGATGAATTTTTGCCATCTATTTAACTTTGCAACCCGCTCTTTCCCCGTTCAGGGTTTCCTTTCGGCTTTTCTGTGATGTTTAATTTTTTATTTAGATGTGGGCTAACAGATAGCATTAGTTGTCCATATTTCTGCCAGATATACAAGAATACATAGTGTAGCATTTTGCATGCGCTTTTCAGAGTTCAAAGATGTCTGGCAGGAAGCATTTCACGAGTGATATAACCTATATTCCTGACGATATTTCTGACACTGATAAGTAGTTCTGACTCTGATTTCAAGTATATTAAAGATAGTTATAGTGAAACTGATGAAAATTTCTCAGATTCCTCTGCAGATAATGATGAATCTGAAAATTCAGCTTTTATAGAAAACGTTCGACAGTGGTGCAAAATTGATATGCAAATTATTACATTATGCAAATATTTACATTAGTATATATGTTTTACCTTATTATTTTATAAAATAAATCATAATTTAACCAATATTAATTTTCAAAATTTTCCTTTATAACATTATTCTTCAATTTCAGTATTCTGACAACCTTTTTCTATGATCTAATTCTATAGTTAAAAAAAACTCTTTTACAAAAATTTTTTGTATATTTTTAACTGTAAAATATATACAGATTTGAAATATGTAATAAAAAAATATGCAATTTTTGAACCTATTTTGATAAAAAAAAAGTATGCAGTGAGAGGGTTAACAAACTATGAAATGAGATTAATGGGAATATTGATTTGTTTATTGAAGCAAATATACTTATAAAAGATGCTAAAGAGAAGGAAATTAGTGTAAATTGTCTAAAATATCTGAAAAATGTTTAACTTAAAAAGATGCATAAATATTTTGTTTGTTGTTGCTACAAAACATAAATGATGTATATGTTTTAATTTATATATCATTTTAGAATCAGTATCATAAATTATAACTGCTGAAAAGCATTCTTAATGCTTTTTCAATGAATATTTAAAAAAAATGTAGTTGTAGTCATGTAAGTCTAATATGACTAACGATATCTAACTACGTAATTTAATTATTTAGCCAACTGCCCACCCTTAAAAAAGTTATCTCTTCATGTTAAGTTATTGCCTTTCCACAAAAATGTAAAAATTAACGTCAAACTTTATTCCTCACTAATGAAACTTAAAATAATACAAAACAAACCATCACTTCTGGTACTTCAGTAACTTATTGGAACTTTGTATTAAATACTGTTATTGTGTCTAGATAATTGCATTAGTTCATACAATTCTTATTTGCTGATAGGTCCTTACATTTTTTTATTGATGGTCCTTAAAAGTGCTTAATTTGCATATGCAGAAATGTGCACAAACTATATATATGTGTGTGTGTGTGTGTGTATGTATGTATGTATGTATTTAAGAGATGCTGAGGGTGTTTAGGGATTGCTTCTTTATTTTGATGTCAGTTCTCAGACCGATTAGAGCATGCACATATCTACATTGCATTAAGTTTTTTGGTAATCCTTTTTCTAAAGTAAAGGCAACATTTATTTCTCTTAAATGCTGAGTGCATTTTGCTTTATGTGTTTATTGTATTTTCATTTATTCTGAATTTATTTATTATTTTATTTTTATTTTATTTTATTTATTTATTTATTTATTTTATTTTTATTTTTATTTTTTGCAAAGAAATAAAGCAGAAACATTTCCAGGCATGTGGTGTTTTAACCCCCCCCCCAAAAAAAAAGTAATGTATTCCAGCCTTCATGAAAGACCTGATATAAATGTAAGATGAACAAAAGCCTACAGAGTGTTAGAATGAGAATTGGGTACTGTGTTGGAGATATATCGGTGCACATCAGTTAAATGCACAATTAACTACATTTCTTAAACACATAGCAGAGTTGTGCAACTGTATTCAGTAATAAGAAGTAACATGCTGTATTATATTCAGGATGAGAAAATTTCCCAGTTTCAGAATTTTTATGCTTTAATGTAAAAACAAACATGTATATACATAATTAAAAATGTATACTTTCATATGCATAAGAAGTCCAAAAAATGAAAGTAATAAAAATTTGATCTTTGACAATAGTTAAATCATATTACTAAATTTTTCAAAATAGGCATACTTATTTTATGAGTATAATGGGTAAAGATTTATTTTATAATAACAATATATACAAGAAATTGTTGTAGAAAATGCTCATAAACTTTGTTTTGATGTATCTTGATCGTACAAATGTAGTCTGCAGTGTTAAAAATTCATTTAGTATTTAGATATACATCTTGATGGTTGTTTTTCTTCCTCATAGGAATTCTCTCCTGATTTAACAGTAGAAACAAAAAATCAATTATTGCATGATATTTTTACAGTTTGTGGTCTCAACTGAAATGTAAGTATTTACACCTGTGTATTTGTTATTAATACTTGTTTAAAAAAAAAAGTGTAAAAAGTAAGTGTTACTTCTGCATTATGGAAGCCTTGATAAGAAATGGAAATTGGCATGTTTTAATTTAGGACAGAATCAGGTGGTTACTAATACATACAAGAAAAGCATTTAGTGTCTATAAGAATTTATTTAATATATGTTGTGTCCACAAAAATCTTTGCCAGGCCTTTATTTTAGCAACTGTTGGTCATAGATAAATACTTCCACTTGCAAAAATGTTTTAAATGGCACAAAGATTCGTGTTTTTAAATTAAAAAAAAGTTAATTTACTGAAATATGAAATACAGTCATCCGGCGAGCAATTCCAGATTTTGGAAATTTTCGGGTTTTAGATTATCAGTTTAAATGTATTAAGATGACATGAAAGCATGGCAACATTGGGACTTTGCTTATTGTTTAAATGCTAACACTCTCCTCCTCCCATAAATCAGTGTATTGTCGTTGGCCATGATGCGACTCCCTAGCTAGCAGGCATTTGAAAATAACAGGCAGAAATCTCGATTAGCGTGGAGCAAAATCGTATTTACGACATACCTGCTTCTTTTTGTTGAGAATTATACTCTTCCTTCTTAAGACTTTGCATCAATGCAAACTCTCCCAGTTTTACCAGGAGTGAAAGACTCCCCGTTTTTAATTTTTAGCCTTTACTAAAGAAAATGGGTCCCAGCAATAAATAAATTTTATTGAATTAATGAAACTTAAATTACTCAAACTGCATTCCCTACCTATAGTAGTTTTAAGAATAGTTTTTCTTAAAGTTCTTTGTCCATCTGAATTGTACATTTTTATTGATATTATTTAATTTTTCATATTAAAATTACATTTGATGTGATTATATAGTACAAAGTCCGTAATCCGGACTCGTCGGGACTTCAGCGATTCCGGGTTAGGGTTTTTTCCGGATTATAGATCATCAATTTAAATCTGGTAAGATGGCATGCAGAAATTAATACAAATTGAAAATATGATGAAGCATACGTAATTTATGAAATAAAGAGCAATTATGATCTAAAGAGTATCAAAATTTAAAAAAAAAAAAGGCTTAATATTTATTTGTTTACTTTAATAAACATTTCTTTCAATGTAAGTTGTTTAAGTTGCTTCGTTTTTTGTGCTAATACTTTCTCTTTAATTCTATAAACAGACATAATTTCTTGTTCAGTTACAAAGTTCCACTGTCCATCACTGTAATTGCTGTGTCGAGAAGCCGACTAACTCGTCAATTGAAATTTTTTCGTTTTCAATAAATTAATTTGATAATTTGTATTTATTAATTATTTTTATATTTATTTTATTTATTTATTTACTTTTGTTCCTCTTTGCTGATGGTCTTCCGTAAGGCTCCGGCACTTCTAATTTTAGAAAATAAGCCCTGTTCTGTCTATAAATGGGAACTTTTGTTTTGAACAGAAATCACTGGAGGAAACATTTTTTATTTGCTATGTGCGCAACTGTAATTTTAAAAATGCATAAATGAAATGATTTAAGCCTGAAAGAAAAAGATAACTTGCTGAAAGAATATAATATGCTTGGTAAATGCAGCCAAGGAGAAGAACTGTGTAAAGTAAGAATTTTCCAAACCAGCATTGAACAGTTTACTTCAATAAAGAAATAAAATTGATAAAGAACTAGTAAAAGATATGAATGTCTCAAGGATATATATACAAAAGGGGATGAGAAATTGAGAGAATTGAAATTGCTCTTCAAGAACGATTTCAAGCTTTGAAACTAAAGAATGTTCCAATTTCTAGAGCTCTTTTAACCACAAAAACTGTAGAATTCTCTAAAATGCTTTTTTTTTGGGGGGGGGGTCTATCTGATGGATGGCTCACAAAATTAAAAAAAAGAAATAGCATTTTTTATCAGAAATTACGGGGTGAAAAGAAAGGGGCAGATCATCATTTTTGTGCGAACTGTATATCAGACTTTTTGGGCTTCTAAAAGAATACAGTGTTTAAATGTGAAGCAGCAGTTCGTTCTAAGAGTATGTTATTAATGTGCGATATGGATGCAACATTTAGGAAGACTGTGATAGTTATTGAAAAAAGTAGAAAATCCTCAATGGTAGAATGTTTCTGGAGTCTAGAATAGAAAGTGGGAATCCCACGCTCATAGGTGTGTGAATGTTAAGTGCGATAATCATTGCTGTCTTTCTAGAACACTAAAAATGCAAAATGTATCCAAAAGAGACTTTCTCTTTTCAAGAAACAAGTGCAGTAATCCTAATTGGTAAACATGCAGTAATCCTAATTTATTGTCTAAATCAGTTCTTGTTAGTCGAAAGCAGACATCCAAATGACATTGAGGCAGATAAAACTGCTTTGAGGGGCCAGCTGTCAAACAACCATGAGATTAAAATTGCAAATTCTGTTAAAAAAATTGCTGTGTCCCAATTAATTTGCATACCATAGCAGTAAGCATATTAAATGTTTAGTAGTAAAACACTGAGAAAATGTTCACTAACTAATGAAACACATTAATGTATATTGCACAGTTGCCAACTAGTTTTTCATCATGTCTTTCTGTAGAATACTAAATCTCCTGGTTTTTTAATTTTTAAGCCTTACAAACTGCTGAAGAAAATGCTTCCCAGTAATAAATGAAATTTATTAATTAATGGGCCTTAAACTATGCAAATTCCGTTCCACACCCCGTTTGTTACATAATTTATATTATTAAATTTTATTTGATCAGTGCTTGTAGAACTTTTTATAAAAATTCAAGCTAAGTTTAATCAGGTAGTATTTGTATTTAATTTTGTTTTACATCAAAATATGCTACATCATTAAGTTTATGCACACAATAGTATGTACATTGACTATTAATTTTATTTTTCTCATATTTAAATCTACTTTGATAAATGAGATTTCCTTCTTTACTCAGGATTTTTTTGGTATAAACATTACAAAGTACAAACTGAGATTAGCAAAGAACATAAAATATAAAGAATTCATTACGCCGTTTAAAATGGGATAGAGCAGTGGTTGTCAACCTTTTGACTAACGTGTACCATCTAAACAAAAACTGAAAACCTTTAGTACCACCACTACTACCACCACCACTCTCGAACAAAGCTCGGATCGCATAAATTTACGAGTAGAAAAAAATCAGGATGTTGGGATTTTAAATTTTGAATTTAATAATTAAAAAAGAAAATCTGAAGGGCTTCAGATTTTAAATTACATCCAAAGGAGCATTTTTTAACATTTTGTGTGTTACCTTTATCTATTAAATATCATGTTCTTCACACTTAAACCATAAAATTCAGTTCAAGAGCAATATCTCAAAATAATTTTAAATTGAGCATATCTGTAGAATATCCGATAAAAGTCTCGCGTGCTAGAGATAAAAATGTTTTTTCTGTACAATGTTGCCATCGCTCGCTTCAAATTTGGGCTTTCAGATGCCCATATTCGCAATAGAATTATGCCATTCAAAATTGGATTTATCACATTGCGAGAAACATACATACATTTATGCAGATTCTTCATTATTTAATTTCTTCAAATATAATACAGGGTGATAATATTTGGTGGCAACGATTTGAAAAGTGATACAGCCTTTTAAAGGCTTCAACGCAAAATGCCAAAATGAAATTAATAGTCCTTCAGGTAAATTGCCCCTTTGGACTAAAAATACTTTGCTTTTTTTTTTTTTTTGGCATACCACTGATTTTTCTCTTGTGCACCACCAGTGGTATGTGTACCACCGGTTGAGAACCCCTGGCATAGAATGATTGCCGATTTTAAATATTAGAGTAGTACAACTCGTAAAATACGGCACCTCATCTCAGAACAGCAAATGCAAAGCTTTTTGCTGTTAGAGAAATAGTCCTCACTTGCTATGGAGTCAGATAATCTAACTGAAGCGCATGAGATCTGAATTGCAAATTTGCTAGCTAAATCAAAGTAACAGTACATTACTTAATGGCATAAGTCCATATTTATAGCTGCTCACTTTCCTAGTTTTACTGAGAGGCTTTCAGTTTTTTGTCATACGTCTCGATACTTTTAGTAGATCACCGAATCTCTCAGTTTTTAATTTTTAAACTTTACTAAGGAAAATGTTTTCCAGCAATAAAATAAATTTATTGAATTAAAGATCGCTTAGATGGGATGATGGTTAGTCACTCTGAATGCCATACCAAAGGGCTGGGATACGAATCTCGGAGAGGCCATGGTTGATTCTAAATGTATAGTATGTTTGCAGCATGGGGGCACTCTAAATCTATGACAAGCCAAAAGTCCTTTTGTGTAGCTTGGGTGATAGGAAGGAAGAGTGGGAGATCCTTGGACCACCCCTGGGATGCTCTCTTTCAAAATTGGGTAGGTGAAGGGGAAGTAAAAGTCCATCCTCTTTTGAGGATCTGGTAACTATCTCTACATATAATAAAACAAAGAGTCTGTCTCTCTGTGTGTGTGTGTGTGTGTCTTTTGTTGGCGCTGCGCGTAAGCTAATAGACCCACGGCAACGAAATTTGGTACGTAGGTGCATCTAGACAAGAGCCAGTCCACCTCGAAGCAATTTTTTTCGAAATTCGAATTAAAATTTTTTTATTTTATGTTTTGTGATGAAATTGCGTCGTTTTGAGACATAATGGGCTATAGGAAAGCGAGATTTTACTCTACGCACTCCATTTTCACATCGTCATGAAACGTAGGCACTTAGCTATTTTACGAACTTAAAATAAATTTCGTGTTTCAATAAATTGATTAAATACGAATTTATTTAACAAAGGGAGCTTAACACCTTTTCAGTGGAATTTTTTTAAAAAAATTTATGTTTAAAAATGTACACTTTATTTTTGTTTGATTTTTGGACACGTTAAACTTTCATCCTTGCGACTGCTTATACAAAAAAATTTTGGAAAAATGATAATATTTTGTATTTTTAAAAAAATTTTTAAATGAAGCTTCCAAGTACACTTTTCACATCTCACATCTTTACAAATGTGATTTTGGCAACAATTTTCCTTTCTTATTGTTGTTGATAGATTTTTGATAAAATCGCATTATTTGAATAGTTTCATTCTTTTAGAAATATGGGTTTGGGAACAATTTTTCATCGTATTTCTTATGTCATTGTTTTTAAGAGATTGGCATATTTCATTTTATTGTCATTTTTTTTTGGTAGACGGTTGCACGGATTTTGCCGATTTTTCGTTTGCCGAGTAATACGACTTATGGTAAACCCATAGCTGGATAAGTTATTTATGGTAACCGATACTTTGTTGTCATTTTATTTAAAAAATAATGCGTTTTATTATGCATAAATTCAGTGTTTTAAATATCATTTATGGCTTCTAAATATTAAAAATCAATTTAATTTTGCATTTTTATTTGAAATAAAAATTTTGTTGTTTATAATATTTTATATAATTTTATGTTGTGGATGATGTAATGAGGTCACCTTACTTAAAAAAGTAATTGGTTTTATTAATATCTATAAATTTAATCTAATGTTTTAAACATTATTTATGTCTGTTAAGTATTAAAATACAATTTAATTTTGCATTTACTTAAAAAAGATTTTATTATGAATGATTATTTAAATAATTTTAATTCTATGCGTGATGTAATCAGCTCCCTGATTGGTTACTGAATATTTGTGCATGACTGCGCCATTTTAAAATTTTATTATTCATCTCTTCGAATTCCTCAGATTTCAAATGGAATGGATATGTCCGTTTCGAAGATGAATGTTGTTATTGGTAATTACCAAGAATAAGTGGTATCAGAATAAAAAAAAATTTACCTTTGAGACCTTATTTTGGCCAACCTGGCTTTTCTAATTAAAGATTTATTTATAAATTGTTAATAGCGTCAGAGGAAGTTTATTTAAAATTTTTGGAGAAAACCTCCTTCTTCAATGACGGGAGAGAGATGTGGATCACAGATGAAGATCGTTAGAAGACCTCCCTTTTTTTTGTGGTACTTATCAATATACGACAGGTAAAATACTTTAAAAAATGTAAGTACATACCGTATTTACGCGAATCTAATGCGCATCGTTTTTGGCCAAATGTAGTATTAAAAATTGGGGTGCGCATTAAATTCGCATAAATACGGTAAATTTCAGACAATAACATACCGTATTTATGCGAATCTAATGCGCACCCCAATTTTGAGTACTACATTTGGCCAAAAACGATGCGCATTAGATTCGCATAAATACGGTAATTTTCTTTCACTTTATAATTGTATACTTCAACTTTATTAAAAATTAATACAATGTTTTCAAAAATTCCTGAGATATTTATTGCCACATATGTTTTAATGTTAAGTAATTAATTCCTATAAAACTTGTTTTAAAGTATTTAAGTAATATTTTAATTCTTTTTAAACGTTGGTATGATGTTTTTAATTCGATATTTAATTTAAGTAATATTTTAATCCAATCAAATGTTGGCGCAATGTTTTTATAGCAGTGTTTTTATTCTATTATATGAAAGTAATAATTTAACCTTACTTTAGCATTTTATACTCTTAGTAAATGTATTTATTTACATTTGCCAGCTATCTTAGAAAACAACATTTTCAACAAAAAATTAATCCATTATTTTACTATATGTGTAAAACACGTAAAAACAGCATTTTTCAAGATGGCTGATGACTATGAAAACCGCACCAACAATTACGCCAATGTAAATCGCCAAAAATCAGTGCAACCGTCTGCCAAAGTAGCACCTAATTTTTTTCTCTTGAAAATATAACGTAAAACATCATTAATTATACTTTGCTTTTCAGAATTTTTTTTTTTTTTTTTTTTAATTCTTTTATGTTATTTATTGCTCATTTCACTGTTTTAAGATATTGAAAAGTTTTAAGTGATTTTTTTTAGGAAACAAAGTTCTTAACCTCCTTTATACCATTTGAGTTCTTAAGATTTTGCAAAGGGAAGTTAGTTAATTTATTTATTAGGATAATTAATATTTGTATTAAAGGATATTGCTTATTTTATTGTAATTTTGTTATATGTAATAACTTTTTTTTATGAAGTTTTTCTGCAGAGTAAAATTCTATGCAGTTTTTAAATTTAACGTTTGGTGTTGCCTTCAGCCATTTTTCCGGTACATTTAAAAGCCAGATGAAGGCTGGCAGCAAAGCTGCTAGTTCTTCCATAAAATATCGAGTCAAAAACAACAACAACATTAAATTAAAGAAACTTGGAGCTATCTGTGCAAATTCCATTCTCACAGTCCTTGTGAATTTCTGCATAAGTTTTCTTGTTAAATTTTATTTGATCTGAGTAGTCTTCATATAATGGAGAATTTTGAATGAAAATGTTTAAACTCCATTCCCCCAATGCTTTTGATTTTTCAGCATATTTCTTAAATTCTATTTTATCTGAATTAATTGTCTTAATATACTGTATTATGAAAATTCAGGCATTAATTGGTTAATACTTATATTTAATTTTTTTTTACCTTAATTAAAAAAAAATACTAAATCTACTAAGTATTAATAAGCCTATCCACACAGTAGTTTATACATGAATTATTAATTTTATTTTCATCATAATTAAAATTACTTTGATGAACAATAGCTTTTCTTTCCTACTTAGAATTTTCTCAACATAAAATTATAAGAAAATTATGTAGTAAAATTACCCACAGGACATAAAATGTAGAATACCTTATTGGCTATTAATATATTTTACATTGGAATCATATTAGTATCTGTAATCATGCATTGTAAAGTGAATTTGAAGTTTTTCTTTTAAAATGGTATTATTGTACAATATGAAAAACCCCAGGGAAACTCAGTTTTCTATATTTCATAGAGTTTTAAACAGAGCTTAAATTGTGACGGAGCTAACCGGATTCCAGCTCCGGTACTTCTTAATTTTTGGGATAAATCAGAATTGTAGGCGGAGTGCACCGGAGCCCTAAATAAGAAGGTTCCAGCACTTGTAACTGAACAACAATTTCACTAGAAATTTGGTCTCGAAAATTTTATTTTTTGCAATAAAATTATATTAAAAATTGCTTATTTTAGTTTATCTCTATACATTTTATTTAATTTTAATTATTTAATCACTTAAATCTTTAATTATTTAAATAAATAATAATTAATTTTATATTAATTAAATAATTATCAATAAATATTAATCATTGATATTGATTAAATAATTAATAATTACTTTGATGATAATTAATATTTAATTTTTAAATTATTAATGATTTTAAGTCATTTTATTTACTTTTATTCCTCTTTGCTGACGATCTTCCATAGGTTCCATAGGCTTCCTGGTTTTAAAGCAAAATTATTTTTTTCCGTTACCCATATTTCTCCAATAAGTTTTACAAAGTGTTTGTTTCTGTATGGTGATCTAGTTTAATTCTTTATGTACAAGAAAGGAGTTTTATTTAATGTTACTATATGAATGAATCTAATGATGATAAATTTTATTAGTTTAGTAGTGATCATTTTTATTGGCTAATGAGGTACTGAAAATAATATATATAAAAAAATTGATTTACTAAAGTTGATATTTTTTTTAATTAAAAATGGAAATTTTTCTCTTTGTTAGCATGATGTTGTCAAGTCTGATAAAATTGTGAAACACTGCCCGATGATATTGGTGCTTAGTCGGGACTTTTTCCTGGTATTTTCTCTTATGGCTATTGCAGCTATGGCTGATAGTTTTTTGTCACTATATAAATTACTGTGTTAACTCCATATAATGTTTCGTGTTTGTAATGTTTTGAAGTAATAAAATTTTTGAATGATTGTATCTGAAGTATTGCATTCTTTCTTTAAATTAAAAACTATATAAGTAAAAAATAAGCTAAGTAAAAATACCATTAGTTTTTGCTTTTCTGCCCATCTTCACTACCCATCTTGAGCACAGCCATCCAACTGCAAATTTTAACATCTGCATTGGACGCTGAACTGTGGGCCTTAATACAATAAATATTAATTGGTGCACTGATCAAGTGACTTTGATCTTACTTGTACAGTAATACGTAAAATTTAGTGCTAAAACAATGTAGTCTTAAATACAGTCCTAATTATAGTTGCCCATCAGCATTCGAGTGGTAAAGTTGCTGAACACTGGTAGTTTGATCTGGCAAATCCTGGCAAACAGGCTGGCTGCATGGTCAGTTTTCATGGTTTTCCCCATCTATAGTGTGGATAGGAACCAGTTTCCCTTAAAAAAGTCCTCCACGAAGGCATTTCTTGCTATAGACAACCCTTGAATTGCTTTGCTTAATTGATTAACCTAACCTAATTATAGTTCAAAATAATGTATTAATACAAATATTTTTGAATAAATAATATGATCTTAATGCAATTAAAAATAAATAAAACAACTTTTGTTAAAGCAGGATGAAGTGGTAATCACCAGTCATGAAACAGAAATAAGAGAGAGTGGGAACACTCTTTGGGGTGTCAAAATTCCAGTAAGCTAACCTGAATACTGGAATATATATGTTTGGTTCAGTTGCCAATGATAATGTAGCTGCTATGATGTCTCGAAGATAATCTGGTAAATCATCCCTTGCTGCAGACTTTAATATAATTTTGAAAACCACAAGTTTTCATGCATTTTTTATAATCACAAATTCAGTAATTTTTAATCCTTTTGAATATGATCGATCTTACAAGCAGCATTAAATGATGTTTTATAAGAAAAACATTGAATTAATTTGATTATTGAAGGAAGACTATCACTTGAAAGTGTTGCAATGGAATGCAGAATTAACCTTTTGAGGCTGAGGCTTTGGTAGCAGTAAAAGCTACCAAAGGACGAGGAATCTTGAACCGAATGCTTTCCCCCCCTTTAAAAAATCACCTCCTATTTGCAACAAAGATCCTTGTGTGTAGTTTAATGGATTCTCAGAGGGGTGCATCTATGTCGCAAAAGGAAGACCTTTGAAAGAGATAAGTGGTTAAAACTCCAGGGACGTCAAATTTGACATTTCACCCCACTTTTCAGCCTGGAAAATGGGGAAAAAAGACATGGCCACTAAAGTGGACAACCCTGTCTTTTCACGTAGAGGACTCTATGGCCACTATAATGGCCATCCCGTCTTCAAAAGGTTAACTGAGAGTGAAAAAGAAAGGTACTAACTAAATTGGTAAATGAATAATACATGGGCACTTTTCGTGTACTGATGACAAATTAGGTACCTGCAGGGGGGGGAGTCTCTGAGAGGTAGCAAATGGTATTTAAACTTGGGTGATAGAAATAGAACTTGTAACATTAAGCTAGAAAAGTAAAATTAAAATGTGCTTCTGTAGATAAAGATCCAGCTTGTATAGGTCACTATTTGGAAAGATAAATGACATTATAAACATGCTCTAAGGAACCCAACAATAGTTGCCATATATTTTATTTTAGCAGAATTGCTTTCATCAGTATCACTTTCATCAGCTGCAACTAAATGAAAGATAAGTATTGCAAACAGATGGGGAGATTCAGAAGAAATTTTGAGAACATGTTGGTAGCCCACTATAATGAAAGAGAAAAGAATAAAACAGCTAGTGTCGTCTAGGGATTGAAAATGAAATCGGAGATTATGCATTTTAAATAACTGGGTAGGAAACAGATTAGAATTTAAGTCAGCAACTAGTGTAAAGAGAATTTTATGGATGTGGAAAGCCTATAGGAAATCTAATGCACAAAAGGAGGATGTTTAGGGGTAATTTTGGCTAAAGCAAAGTTGTTATTTGTAACCCAATATGTTGGACAATAGAACATTTTCAGAGTACACAATCAATCTTTGAGCAAATCAAGTCTTTAATATAAAATTTATATTTCGACCGTAAGATTTTTGTCAGTTGCCAAAAACTTAATTTAATAGTATTAAATCATTCAGTCACTCACCTTTAAGCTGTAATTGATATTATCTAGTATGAAAATTTTTTTATTGGTTAGCAGCAGCTAAGCTTATATACTCCAGTTTTGGGAAATAGTCATCTTTAACCAGTGACTGATTTATGGAGAGCACATTCTAATTGGTGACATTAAATGATATGTGCATATCACCCTCTACATTCATAGCAATTTTCAACCTATGAAATATCATAACATAAATAACTATTGATTGGTAATAAAATTTAGTAGAGGATGTAAGATTTGCCCCAGAATATGAAATTTGTAAAGTCTGTCAGATATAATCAGTGAAATACGGGTGGCAGTTTCGAGATCTGAACATTACTGGCGACATGTTTCCTCATTGAATATTGAAATAAGCTATGATATTCTACAGCCTGAGTAAAAACTTTAAGGCCAGTAAAAATTTTTGAGAAAATGTAAAATGAAATAAAAGAGATTCAAATAATATTAATTAAAGTTCATTGATAAGAAATAAACGCTATAAATATAATTTGTAAATACATAATTATGAGAAACGTGGTTATTTACAAAGTTAGTATTTCTGCCTGAGTAAAGTCATTTTTTACCACCAGTCATTTTTTAAAAATAAATATAATATAATTGTGTAATTACCATTGCAACTACTAGCTTGTGACAAAGCTGAAAGTTTCATATTTGTCATACGTTTCTTCGAAGTATTGGTGATCTTTGTGAAGATGGCGAAGGGTAAGAAGTTTTGTCTTCAACAGGAATGAGTAGTCGTGCTATTGCGATAAAGATAGGAAGATCAAAGACACTGTAGTCAACAATTTTTTTTTTTAAATTGAAAGACAATTATAGGTAAAAAGAATACTGGGGGAAGACCTAAAGCTTTGTCCTCGCGTGATGAAAGAAGAGTTTGCCAACTTGTATATCTACTGGAAAGTACTCAACCAGGAAACTGATTCCGATGACAGGTTTAAAAGTTTGTCAAAAAACGATTTATAACACAATTAGAAGGTCTGGAAGGTTCACTTATACAGCAAAATTCACTAAGCCTCAGTTACTGCAGAGACACAAAATAGAGCGTTTGAACTTTGGCCAGAAAGTCATGACCTGGGACAACCAATGGATAGAAATTATTTTTTCTGACGAAAAAAAATGGAATTTGGATGGGCCAGATGGCTGGAATTTTTACTGGCATGATATAAGAAATGAAAAAGAAATATTCTTCAAGCGCCAATTAGGTGGAGGATCTGTCATGACTTGGGGCTGTTTTGCTTACAATGGTGTGGGCTCAATTGCATTCGTTTCAGGTAGAATGAATTCACAAGGATACCAAAATGTCCTAACAAATCATCTTTTTCCAAATGCTGAATGTCTTGCTGGAGAAAATTAGATTTATCAGCAAGACAATGCATCGATCCATTCGAGTAACAGAACAAAAAATTGGTTCCAAGTCAACAATGTTGAAACTGTGAAATGGCCAGCTAGATCACCTGACCTCGACCCAATGGAGAACCTTTGGGGTGACTTAGCAAGAAGAGTTATGCAAATGGGAGACATTTTACATCAACAAAACAGCTGAAATCTACTATCAAAGATGAATGGTATAAAACCGACCCCACCTTTGTCAAAAACTCGTTTCATCCATGAAAACAAGAATATTTGAAGTAATTCAAAGAAATGGCTTTTACACAACCTTCTAAGAATTTGTAATTTTTTTCTTATATGTCATTTTCTATGTTGGCCTTAAAGTTTTTACTCAGGGTCAAATATTCATCTGTGTGTTCTGTAATATTTTCTAATAATAAAATATTTGTAAATTAATTTGTCTACTTTTTCTACTTTTATTTTAGCTCAATAATTATCAATCAAATGGTATTTTAATTCCTCAGTTTAAATGTTTCCATTTTTTCAAAAATTTTTACTGGCCTTAAAGTTTTTACTCAGGCTTTACTACAAATTGATTTTAGAATTATTGCTGAATAAATATTTTTCCGAAAGTTGCTGAAACTTTGCCTAAAAGTTTATTGTTCTAATTGAGGATGATTGCAATAAGTGAAATTTTAGTAATTTTCCATTAATAATGCAGCAATCATAAAGCACTCTGATTTTATACCACAAACCGCACCGGACATGTTTCTGGTGGGACATTCTTGCGATAGAATTAAGATGGATTTAAATATCTGATAGTTTACCATATAGTGAAGTATCTGCCACTGAATTCTTTCAGGGAAAGGAATGGCACATAGTGAAATCACAATTATTTTGTCCAAATATATACAATAGTGGCATAATGAGGGGGCTGTAAAGGGCCATGTGCATCCGCCTAATTTTTCCTTTCATCAAAATTTGATGATATCTAAAGGTGGCATTATTTTGCTAATTTTCTTATTAAAGGAACATTTCTAGGATTGTCTTATCTTCTAGTTCCTCTCTTGTCGGAAGAGGTCACATAGCGCATATTTTGTTAATGTGTTTGTTTTCACATAGCATATTTTGTTAATGCTTATCCCTATTATTCACTAGACCAGTGGTGGCGAACCTTTTTGGTGCCGTTTGTCCATAACCTTTTTTTGGGAGGCCGGCGTGCCCAAAACCTCTTTGATTAAATCCCAATCGGAAAGTATTTTACCATGATTTGCCAGGCACAGTGAAATATAAAAGCTGGCCATTCTTAAATGGTTTGTTTTAGAAAGATAATTGCAAGAACATACTTCCTGGTAATTATAATTCCTCAATTTCCTCAATAAACATCTTCTGTTCGACAACCATCTCGTAGTTGGTGTTAAAATGACATAAGTAAAAAGAAGAATGAATGAAAGTGAAGAGAGAAAATATGTATGAAAAAGAAGCCGTAAAGTAAAGATAAGTAAGTATGTGAAACGTTCAAGAACAGACTAAAACATTAAATTACACTTAATTATTTAAA